CCAGATGACTGGTAGACTCAAGGAGAGTGTTCCCTCTGGATTTTCTAAATGACCAGCATTGACTTCGACTGAGTTAGGCCAGAAGTCATGGTTGGATTAGTAAAACCCGAGAGGCATTCCCACAAACAGACACTTTCAGATCTTATCTGAAATTACCATATACGCATAAATCACACACACTCATCAAGTCACAATAATTGTAACTATTGTTGCTACACTGTTATTTAATATATTAATAAAAGATAAGGTATCCAAAGATGAGAAATCAACTGACGAGTATTTCAGTACAAAGAGTCTCGCTTTCAGTCCCCTGTATTCAGTAATTTCACCCAGTGGACAAGATCGGAGGGCTTCACCAGATTACCAAAGGGTTTCTTATAATCCTGAAGCCAAGAAGCCCTAGAGTGAAGCAATTCACTGTGCCTCTCTAGGTACCAACTTCCTCTCTTTGAAAGAAACTGGAGACACTGGGTGGTGTAGTGCAGTTCACAGAGGACTTTCCTAGCATAGAGGAATCCTTGGGTTTAATCCCCAGCACCAACATGTACCAGGTGAAGTTCCTATAATCATAGCAGGAGAGAACTAACGTGGAGAAAGGAGAGTTCAAGGTTAGACTGGGCTACAAGAGACTTGTCTCAAAAAAGGAAGTCAGAGCTGGTTGTGGCGGTATCCACCTGTAATGGTAATTCAGGAGGCATAGGTAAGAGGATCCTAAGTTCAAGGCCAGCCAGGGCTATTTATCTAAAAAAATGTTTTAAAGGGGACTGCAAAGGGGACTCAGGGATTAAAGGGGTACACAGTTTTTACAGAGGACCAGAGCTCAGCTCTCAGTACCCACATCAGGTAGCTCACAACCACCTGTAACTCCAGCTCGCGCCTCTGCACCCCCACACATACAAACATGATTACAAATAATAATAATGTCCTTTTTAAAAAAGCAACTGGACCAGTCACTGTGAAATCCCCTCCCTGATGTCACACCCCAGCCTGAGGAACTCTGGGCCATGGTGAGGCACGACGGCAGGAGCAGGACACAGGCTAAAAGCACCAGAAAGACCCAGAGTCTGGCGTAGGTCTTAAATCAGCACTTTGAGAATCTGTCCTCCAAAGCCCGATGCTTGAGGCTAACTGGGGCAACCCCAAGGAAATTGTTGGAGGGCTGACTGTGAAAGCCAGTGTCTCCCTCCAAAGGTTTCCTATCACACTATAGCTATAGATACCGGAAATCCCGACATGCATCAGTGAACAGCTCTGCACACAGGCCACAAAGAATATAATCTTTGTTCTCGACATAAACGGCTGGTGTGGAAGCTGGCTTAGAAGTATACTTAAGCCGAGTGTCAGGGGCCAAAGCAAGACAATGGCGAGTGAGTCCCAGGCCTGCCTGGGTTACAGTGGGGACACCCTGACTCATAGAGAAACAGATTGAGAATGACTGACTTAAAAGTTAAAGAGCAACAAGCATGTTTGTCAAAGCTATGTGCTTCAAGTCCAAATATTAGTATTTTACATCTCTAGTCACTTAAACAGCAAAAAGAGAAAGTACCAGGCCTGGTTCTATAGATCTGCAAATTCAGTTACTTGGAAGGTTGAGGTGAGAAGATTACAAGTTCAAGGGCTGCCTGGGCTACTAAGGAAGTTCAAGGCTAGTTTGGACAACCTAGCAAAACTCAATAATGAAAATGAAAGTGGCCTGGGGACACAGATCAATGGCAGAACACTTGCCTAACACTCACAAGGCCCTGCATTCAGTCACCTGTACTGCCAATAATAGAACAGCAATACAGTTCAAGCGCAGACCACAATCCCACCTTCACAGCACACCTGCACTGAGTGGTCACCTCCCATACAGAGTCCCCAAGAGTCTCAAAATGGTTACCCCATAGCTTCCTTCATCATCAGCCCTCAGACGTGACAAGTCCCGGGGCAGAACAGCCACCATTAATACACCCAGTGGTATCCAAACAGTGAGGACTTTTACCTTCTTCCAATAGGACCCATATTAGGACAAGTGGGGAGTCAAAGTTTAACTGGAAGAAAACTGAATTACATCTCTAGAATAGTTATGTTGGCCTGCTTTACAAATGCGTCCCAGCAACAAGGGTGCACACGACTGAACACACTTACTGTCCATAGCAGACATGTTCCAAGTACATGCTCTGCATGAATGCTCATGAGAGGTTAATTGATAGATTAGACACTGTCAGAAATGGAACAACAGCTAGTAATAAAATAGATCAGAATAATGTACCAAAACTTAAGTTGTGCCAATGTGCTTATTCTCTCTCTCATATCCCATATCATATTTGGGCCTCAATTGACTACTGATAACTGTTAACTACAGAGAATGAAACTATAAGGAAGACTACTGCTTACCTGGTAAAAACCCTCTGACTAGCAGAAATAAAAAACAAAAAAACCCCACAACCTTCTCTTGTCAAAATTCTTCCTTCCCCTGGGGAGACATAAACAAACATCTACCCCATCTTTATAGGGCACTAATGACAAAACAAAGTACGATTCCATCAAAAGTCACACTTGGGGGAAACAATGAGTTGACAGGGCTTCCTTACAGAGCAGGAGATGAGTAGGTGACCCCAAAGCAACCTCAGCACCAGAAAGTCTCACCAGGGATGACGGACTCCCCCTTCCAATACACTTCCACCCTTTACATATGTGCAATTACAGTAGAACTAACACAATTAGCCATGCTGGGGATGGCGGTTTAATCTCAGCACTCAGGAGGCAGGTTGGAACACAGAGGAGTTCGAGGCCAGCCTGGTCTACAAAATGAGTTCCAGGATAGCTAAGGCTACCCAGAGAAACCCTATCTCAAAAAACCAACTAGTCGGAAGAAGTCAGAGGGAAGGGCCAGGATCTCAGAAGAGAATCCAATGACCCTCCCCAAGCCTCCCTACATTAACAGTCAATAAGGCTGATCTCCTGGCTGCTGGCAAGGAGTCCCAGCTGTTCTGCTGAAGAGGTCAGCAGTCTGTAACACCTGGTGGGGGAGGGGGGAGGCAAGAAAGTAAGTAAGGGATGGCTCAAGATTTACAGGGAAGAGCTGCAGAGGTGATGGAAGGAAACAGAGGGGGCAGTCTGAACCCCAAGGAAAAAGGCTGGAGTGTGGGATGCAGTGTTGGGGGGAGGAGTCCTGTCGAGGGGGACACAAGCACAGGAGAGCAAAGTCCCACAGAAGCCACTCTCCATGGAATACTGAACCACAGAGACAAGTGGAGAGTTCACAGACGCGGGACTTCATTGTGGGGACTGACAACTCACCCCTCAGGCTCTCCTGCAGCCAGGGAAGGCTCCCAACACAAGAGCACAGATGCCCAGGAACACTCACCCCTGACTTCAGCGAATATTCTGTGCTTCAGCATCCGCACCTACCTGGATCTGCTGTGGCTAGTGAAGTAAATGTCCCAGATCACACCCTGGAACAACTCTGCTAAGCTCTGTCCTCTAGAAACACTATCCAAACACTTTCAATGCCCTCTGATAAATAACCAAAAATCTGACTCCAAAACATGGGGAAATACTGGAAACATTCTTACTCTCCTGCCTACTTTTAACCCAGGTAAAGTTAGAGATGACCCTTTTATAATTAGTGATTAGTTGCTGCTAAGCATGTTTTAGTCATTAATTAGTATTCTATACTGCTTAACTAAATTAATTTCCTCTTGTGGTGCAGAAGATGGAAGGAAGCCAGGGCTTTGGGCATGCTCTGTGATTGCCACAGCCAACCCTTCATCCGTTTTACAGTATTTCACTTACACAATGACCAGCTACTTGCTAGCAGGTATCTAGCCAAGTTACTTATTCAAAGATAAGTCAAGACCTGGTGATCTGAGACTGAAGAAACTTCACCTATCCATGTGACCTGCAACCATGTGGAGGAGCAAAACGTCTAAAAGTAAAGCCGAATTAAAAAAAAAGTTTTGGGAATATATATATATACATACATATATATATATATATATATATGTATATATATACATATATATATATATATCTTCACATTAATAATATAATAAAGACAGAAGGGGATGCCTGAGTCCCGGTTACATGGGCACATAGGACTTAGTGTCTGAAATGTGTTTAGATGTCACAGCAGACTGGTAACTTCAGGCAGTGTTCCTGCAGGTCCCCGGACGTGAAGGAAAAGAGGTGCGCTGACAGGGAGTGAAGTAAGGGATTGCATTTCAAACGTGTCAAGTGAGTGGACATGAGAGAAAGTGATAAAATGCTCACACAACACACTTGTTTATTCCAGAGGCTCCATTTAAAGTCTAATTGTCATGGCAATCTCCTGGCTAAAGGTGAGGGCTTCCTCAATGAAAAGTGAAAGTGGAAAGTTTTTCCACCTGGGTCCAACCCATCAACGCCACGGTTGCAGATCCAAGCCAAGAGGCCAGAGTTCAGAAATGACGGAGCACTAGGGTACTGCGAATACAAACGCCACGCGCTAGCGCGGGACCTACCCCCTTCCTGCCCCTTGGGGAAGCTGTGTCACACCGCTCCATCCTCGCCAGTAGGTCAGATGGGCGTCCTCACACGCAGCCCCAGGACCCCCTTGCCCTCCTTCCCACGCCACACACTTCCTGCCTCTTCCATCACCTCTACTGGCAACTTCGGTTTCCGATTTTGTCTGTGACTGCGGTCGGGACTGCAGTCCCAGGGAGGGAGGGAGAGGGACTTTGGGGCTTCCGAGTGGGATCTGGAAAAGGGCACTAGCAAAGCGCACCATCCCACGTGCTGCCCTCGCTGGCCACCTACGGCAGTGGGGACCGGACGCGCTCCCACAGTGCGCGCCACTTGAGTTGGGGTTCAGATGGGGGTTGGTCAGAATCCCCAAGCCTAAAAGCACTTTTACACCAGGGCGAGCTGGACTCCCCGGGCTGCAGCAGCGGACCGAGTAGCCGTGTGTGCGCCAGCTCGGCGGGTCCAAAGTGGACTCAGTGGCGCTCGGGCGAGGGTGGGGCGGGGCAAGCACTCACCAACCCCGTACTTCTGCCTCTTGGTAGGGATCCAACGGGCCATGGCGACGACTTCGCCCCGCGGCGCTAGCGGCTACAGCCACTCGTGCTCGGAGTGCCGCCGCGCCGGCCGGACTCCTCCGCCATGTTCCGGCAAAACTTGGGCGACTTTGGCGCGCCGGCCGCGTCTACGCCGTCCCGCCTCGCTCGCGCCCGGGGCCCCGCACGCACGCACTCCCGCTCGCCCGCGGTCACCTGCTGGGGCCGGCGGCAGTGCAGCCCCGCGCGCCCTCCCCGGCGCCGCCCCGGCTCCTCCCGCTGGCCGCGCCCTCTGCGCCCCGGGGCCGCCCGCCTCCCCCGCCGGCTCCGCCTCGCCCGGCTGGAGCCGCAGTCCGGAGCCGCCCGGCTTGTCCTCCCAAGCGTCGGCACTGCGATTCCCCAGCGCTCCCGGGCTGCGCCGCCGAGCGCGGAGGAGGAGGAGCTGGTGAGAGTCACCGTCGCCTCCGGACGCTCAGTAAATATTTGTTGAATGAATGAGCCGTGAGCTCCCGCCTTCGCCTCCGGGAGCGTCTGCTGCAGCCCCGAGAGCCGGAAACCGAACTTCTAGGTCCGCAGGGAATTGGTGCAAGGGACACCCGCGCTTCACAAGTAGAAGTATCCAATCTAGGGGACCCTCCATTAGGACACTTGACAAATCTGCAAACTCCAATCTCAGGGACTTATTTCTCTCCGTTGCAGCAACTCAAACTTTCACACTAAGGGAAGAAGTTTGCTCCAAGAGGTTCCCTTTTCCAACTGACCCCCTGCTCACAAGGCACCCTTGTGGGGAGGAATCTACCCCATCCCTAACCCGGTCCCTGTCCTTTTCCAGCCTGGGATTGAGGACTCCAAAGGCAGCTGTGTGTTGAACTGCTCAGGGGTGCGCTTGGCGCCCTCTGCCTGCGGGGAGACGCGCTTCCCTCTTGGAGATACCTCCAGAAAGAAGTAGAAGAAGCTACTTAGTACAGGAACACTTCACACTTAGAAGTAAAATTTCAGACTAACCAACCAGTTAGCTTCGCCATCTGAAAAAAATACCTCTTGCGGGAAATTGTGTTGTTCTTGGGGTCTGTGGAGGCTTTCTTGCCAGTTTGGAACCTGACAAGAACAGAAGAACATGTAATTAAAATACACAGTAAAAAACAATAATGCTTGATTAGAGATGAGTGAACTCTGGTGACTCTTTGCAAACCATGCCAGAATATATATATTTTTTTAATCCTGGTTTTCCTCCTGAGAAAGTAAATTCTGAACTTGGAGTCCTGGTTGAGAGAAACAATAGGTACCTATTATGACCATGCGTCGGCCATCTTTCTTAATGTGGTTCAGTCACATCTCTTATGTAGATGCCAGTTTTTATTCTTGATAGGGGCGAACTCAAAGTTAAGCATGATTACATAATGTGTCATTTATTCCCTTTGTAATTTAAAGTTACATGTTCATTGTGTACTTAATACTGAATGTTTAAAAAATAAAAATCACCAAAGAGTCTAAGCAGCAGGAAAACAATCAACCAAACTACAAACTGAGCTACTGTACTAAACAGTTCTCAAAAGAAGAAATTAAAAATGGCAAAGAAAACACTCTAAAAAAAGAAAGAAAAAGTTCCAATAGGAATCTATTTATAATACACAGCAAGACATATTTCCATTAGTGTAGACCTGACATCCACAAAGATTTCTACCGTCTCCCCCAAAAATAACTTCTTCTAGATGTTTTGATTGACTTAACCACCCAGGCTAGATAATTTCTCTTCCTTTTTCCATAAGTGACCTACTATGTGTTGGACACTGTTCCTGGAATGGAGTTTCAGTAGTGAGGTAAATGAGACCCATACCTTCACACAGCTGTTGGAAGAAGTGAAGACTTGAAATCAATGCATACCAAAGGAGGCGAGGCCCACAGAGAGAAACCTTAGCCAGGACCATGGGGAGTGTGGGTGCCGGAGATTTACACAGAAGCATCTGGAAAGACATCTGAGATAAGGGGAGATTGAAGGGCAGAATTACAGGAAGTGAGGATGACCCTCACGATAAAAGGGGAAATGTTCTGGACCGCCTGAGCAGCAAACACAAAGGCCACCAAGCAGGTCTAACAGGCTCCAAACTGGCAAAAAGTCCTGGACAGTGAATGATCTGAGTTAAACAGGAAACTTGTTTCAAGAGGCACAAGTGAAGGAAGGCCATGACCCAGACGAGGACTTCCTGTGTTATTACAAATTCTAAAGGTTTCGAGCTTGTGTCGGTGGGGATACCAGACACTGTCCAACTGTGTCTCCTGTGGTGTGAACCGACTCTAAAGGGCTAAGGATGCCAGTTAATGGAGACACCAGGGGGTGGTAGGCGGCTGTGAAAAGAGCTGGAGTTCTGGACATAAACTGAAGGGGGCGCCAACCGGAAGACAGTGCAAGCAGAGAGGGATGAAGTTAATGGGGCCTCTCTGCTTTACTAGCAAGTGATTCTGGAAAAAGCGTGACAAAAAAAAAGTGCTTCTATTTTGTTGCTTTTGAGTTTTTGTTTTGTTTTGTTTTGTTCTCTTGGAATCTTTTTTCACACCATATTCACGTAGGCTCTACAAATCCTGGCTTTGGGGTGTGAGCAGGAAAGTAAGTAAAGAATGACCTGGGGCTTGAACGACTGGTGATCACGGCTGCCATTTTAGTTTGTTGTTGCTCTTCCATGATATCATCCTTGTTTATATTCTCTGTTTTGGATCAAAGTTTACCTTTGAATATTTCCTAGGACTTACTTCCTCCCTCCCACACCCCCTCCCATCCCCCCACCCCCCTCCCGCTCAGCCACTGCTCCCCCTGGACCATTAGCAACTGTCAATCATGGTCTGGAACTTAGGTCTGGGCTGCCTTGGAGCTGGAGCTGCCCAGTGTTGCCTCAGTCACCTGTGCGCAGAGAAATGGATGATCTTTGTTCTTTAATTTTTTTATTTTATTTTTTATGTTTAATGCACACTAGAGTGTTTAATCCTTTTACTCTGTGGAACTTGGTTTCAACCAGAACCCTTTCAATGGATTCACACTTTGGTGTCGTTATAGGCTCTTTCCAAGACTTCAGGACACTGGAGATTTCAGGCTTCACAATGATTGATTGCTTTTAAGAGAGTTGGAGGAAAAATGGGAAAAACTTCCAGTGTGTTTATTCTTTTTCCTCTGCAGACTGAAGTCCACTCACTTTGTTATATCAGATGGTTCTATTCCCAGTTTGAAAGTCCATTTAAATCATAAAAGCACAGCTATTCAAAGTCTTGTTATTAAAATGAAGTTTAAAATGAGACAGTTGACCAGATGGGTAGGTGGAATAACAGCATGTTTCCCAGAATTATCTTTTCCCTCTTCCTCTGGTGTCTTTTCAGAAAAACACACACACACACACACACACACACACACAAAAACCAAACCATGAAACATATTCCACAATTGCAGCTATCTAGCTTCTAAAGCCCATAAAGATACCAGCAACTCTTGCACACAAGAATACTCGCATCTGTGCTCTTGGGTGCTCCAGAAGAAGAAATGAGGAGAAATGAATTTCTAGGCTAGACTAATTGGCCTGAATTCTGTAGCTATCCCTGACAGTAAGTACCTAATATAGGATACCAAGGCAGCTGGTCAGGGCTCTACTTTCCCCATTAATCAGGTTTATTTTACCAAGTTTGGCTGACACAACTTTCTTGTGAGAAGATATGGCTTCTGTTAAGGACAGTTTTGTGGGTTTTTTTTCTACATAAAGAAATGGGTTGCCTCTAGAACTACAGGAGAATTAATAAGGGATACAAATGACAACTGGTTCTAAGCAGAGGTCGGCGGGCATTTACAGGTAAATGCAGTGGAGCAGGACATTCACTGGAATTTGGGACGCTTGAGCTCAACAGGGCAGGGCTCCTCTTTCCATCCCCAGAAACACTTTCTCATACATCCCAGAGACTCTCACATGACTCTGTAACTCCAAACGGCACAGGTGCTGAGCATCTCCAGATCATCCTTAGGCTGGTCAGCTGGCTTTGGATGTGGCATGGACCCCAATAGTTAGGAAGACAATAATCATGGTCTTTATACCATTCCTCTCTCGATCCCCCTTGTGGGAAGATTTATGCTTTGGTCAGCACTTTAACCTTTTACACAACAAAACAAGACACTTCTAATTTTATTTCTAGGATGTCTACATAAGTTGATCCCAGCTTGCTGAGGAAATTGATGATGTGAACGAACATCAAGAAATCATTAGTTTGTTTGCTCAGTGGCTGGACATGGCCCTGTGGTGTGCTGTAACCCCAGGGACTCTACAGGAGACCTCGATAAGGAGGTAGAGACAGGAGCCCCCACCCCTGAAGCTTGCAGGCCAGCTAGCTGAAAAGTACAAAGAAATCCTATCTAAAACAACGTATAGGGTAAAGACTGACACTCAAACTTTCTTTTGACTTCCACATGTGCATGTGATACCCACACACATGAGTGTGGACCCACACATAAACACAGACACAGAATTTTTAATTAATCATTAGTTTGTTGAAACTATAATATGTTCACAGTTGTGTGAGCCAGATGAAAGCTCTTTGATTTAAAAAGAACTACATTTATACAGTTTTAAATATTATATATATAGCTTTTCATAATTTCAACTACATTTATATAGTTTTAAATAATATATATATGGTTTTTGAAGAGTCCATGTATGTACATAAAAAAAAATCTTCATAAAGTCTGGCATGATCATACATCCCTGTAATCCTAGCACTTAGAAGATGGAAGTAGGAGGATCAGGAGTTCAAGACCAACCTAGGATACATGAAACCCAGTCTCAAAAAAACAAAAACTAGTAGCTGGAGAGACGGTTCCATGGTCAAGTGCATTTACCACTGGCAGAGGACCCAGGTTCTGTTCCAGTCATGCAAGGCAACTCACAAACACATGTAATTTCAGTTCCAGGGCATCTGACATCTTCTTCTGACCTCTGTGGGTTTCTGTATGCATGTGGCACACATAATCATATGCTGGCACACACATAACATAAGCAAACTTTTTA